AAAGCCATCCACTATGACCTGCACATTTCCCAGGGTCACTACCCTTCATATCAGCAGATCTTTGATTGCATGGGCTACTTGCATCACAGCAGCCCCCACAGTAGATTTGCCTACTCCAAATTGATCCCCAACTGACCGGTAGCTGTCTGGCATTGCAAGCTTCCACAGGGCTATTGCCACTCGCTTCTCAACTGTGAGGGCTGCTCTCATCTTGGTATTCATGCGCTTCAGGGCAGGGGAAAGCAAGTCACAAAGTTCCATGAAAGTGCCCTTACGCATGCGAAAGTTTCGCAGACACTGGGAATCGTCCCAGACCTGCAACACTGTGCCGTCCCACCAGTCTGTGCTTGTTTCCCGAGCCCAGAATCGGCGTTCCACAGCATGAACCTGCCCCATTAGCACCATGATGCATGCATTGGCAGGGCCCAGGCTTTCAGAGAAATCTGTGTCCATGTCCTGGTCACTCACATGACCGCGCTGACGTCGCCTCCTCGCCCAGTATCGCTCTGCCAGGTTCTGGTGCTGCATATACTGCTGGATAATGCGTGTGGTGTTTAATGTGCTCCTAATTGCCAAAGTGAGCTGAGCGGCCTCCATGTTTCCCTTGGTATGGCATCCACACAGAAAAAAGGCGCGGAACGATTGTCTGCCGTTGCTCTGACGGAGGGAGGGGCGACTGACGACACGGCTTACAGGGTTGGCTTCAGGGAGCTAAAATCAACAAAGGGGGTGGCATTACATCCAGGAGTATTTCAGGCAGGACTTCACAGAGGGTTCCAATAAGAAATGATGCACCTAAGTTATCGTTCTTATTGGAACAAGTAGATTAGTCTGGCCTCTGATTGATACATGGCTAGATTTACCTCACTGCAGCTTCTCAGTGAGTGACTGCAGTGTGACCTAGAGGAATGAGTCCCCTAGATGGGGGAGGGGAGGGAAGCAAATGAGTACAAAACAAATCTGGTCTGTTTCTTGTTTTGATCCATTCCATCTATCTTTTACATCTTTGGCTGGCAGCAGACGGTGCAGAAGGACTGCATGCCATCCACATCTCATGGCTGCTCGGCAGAAGATGGTACAATACGACTGCTAGCCATCCTCATCTCTTGCCTGTCCGGCAGAAGATGGTACAGTACGACTGCTAGCAATCCGTATCTCCTGCCTGCTCACCATAAGATGGTTCAATAGGACTGACTGCAGGACTAAAGAGAATGACCTGGTCAAGTCACTCCAAATTTAGTCCCTGCGCCCATGTCTGCCCAGGCGCTCCTGGCCGACGTGGCCAGGAGCACCTCGGACATGATGATGACGGCTACCAGTCGTATTGCACCGTCTGCTGCCACAAGGCAATGGGTTGCTGCTACTGTGTAGCAATGCAGTACCACGTCTGCCAGCACCCAGGAGACATACGGTGACGGTTACCTGAGCGGGCTCCATGCTTGCCGTGGTATGGCGTCTGCACAGGTAACTCAGGAAAAAAGGCGCGAAACGATTGTCTGCCCTTGCTTTCACGGAGGGAGGGAGGGAACGGGGGCCTGACGATATGTACCCAGAACCACCCGCGACAATGTTTTAGCCCCATCAGGCATTGGGATCTCAACCCAGAATTCCAATGGGCAGCGGAGACTGCGGGAACTCTGGGATAGCCACCCACAGTGCAACGCTCTGGAAGTCGACTCTAGCCTCGGTACTGTGGAAGCACTCTGCCGAGTTTATGCACTTAATGCACTTAGAGCATTTTCTGTGGGGACACACACACTCGAATATATAAAACCAATTTCTAAAAAAACGACTTCTATAAATTCGACCTAATTCCGTAGTGTAGACATACCCTAAGTGAATTCAAAGCAAAGGTTTCTCTCACCACTTGCTGTAGCAAACTTACTGACTGAACTCCTTTCAGAGAGGATCTCTCCCCAGTCTTTCTTTGTTCTTTAAGTGTTGTTGAGGCCATGAGTAGAGATGAAGGGAGAGAGATGATTTGGGGCCTCTGTTCCTCATTTTTATCCTTTTCCTCTTCTTTGAGAATCCTCTCCAGCTGATGGTCTATTTCATTTTGTTGACACCTGGCTGAGGTGATGTCACTTTGCCTTTTGTCTCTGAGGAACTGGTTTGTGCCTGCTTTTCTAAACTTGGAGCATGTCACAGCAATGTCCTAGTAGAATTTTATAACTTTACATACAATCTTGTCACACATTTTACCAGGACAATAATGATCAACAAATGAGTTTTCAAATGATACTTCAAAGGCATACTTTTTACAAAATTTAGCAGAGTCTTGTAAAAAGGGTGAACATAAGGGTACAGACTGTCACATCCTACTGCTAGCAAAAGACATTGACTCAAGAAGAGAACACCTCCAATAAGCAAAAATGGCCTGTCTTGGCTGTACGGGGACCATCCTAGTCTCTTCATATGATGCTCCTATGCTACACAGTAGAGCCCCAAAAGGAACCAGAGGAGGATTACTTATAATCAGCTCTTCCTGGGGGGTGGGAAGAGGGAGCCAGAGGGTGAAAGGGCTTGAGGGTACCCCACAGGAAGGAATTCCCAAGTGCGCCTTTCTGGGTCAAAAGGATATTTTGCACTTGGATGGTGACAGTAACGATGCTGGTGAACTGTACCATAGAATCTCTATAGATAGAAATTCCACACTTGAATAATAAGAGTATAGCAGTAGGAATATACCGTTGACCACCTGACCAGCATGGTGATGTTTGTGAAATGCTCAGGGAGATTAGACAAACTACAAAAACAAACCCAATGATGATGGGGGATTTCAACTGTCTATATTAACTAGGTACATGTCACCTCAGGATAGGAAACAGAGAAAATTTCTAGACACCATTAAAGACTGCTTCTTGCAGCAGACAGTCCTGGAACCCACAAGGGTAGAGGCAATTCTGGATTTTGTCCTAAGGGGCGCACAGGATCTGGTCCATGAGCTGAATATAGTTGAACTGATCAGTAAAAGGGACCATAACTTAATTACATTAACATCCTGGGGCGGCCAGGGTACCCATGAAACCCATTACAGTAACATTTAACTTCCAAAAGGGGGAACTACACAAAGATGAGGATGCAAGTTTAATGGAAAGTAAAAGGAATAGATACAAGAGTGAAATGCCTGCAACCTGTGTGGAAACTACTTTAAACCATCATAATAGAGGCTTCTACTGAATGTAGGACGACTGGACATCCCGTTTTTAATGGGACAGTCCTGTATTTTAGCCGCCTTCCAGATGTCCTGACTTTTTGTTAAATATGAGTGAATTGTCCCGCATTTTCTGGGATCGCAGCACAGAGGCGGCAGTGGAGGGAAGCAAGCGGCCGTGCCCCCATCTTCTCTCCCCAGTGTCTTTCCGCACTGGTCTCCTGGGCTGCCTCCTGGAGCGGCAGCTGCAGCAGTACTGGGGATGGGCAACGAGAGCACGCCCAGACAGGAGCAGCCGGGGCTCCGCCGCTCCCGCAGCCGCTCCTGCCCTGCCGCCCCCTGTGCTTCCCAGGAAGCAACCCCGCCGCGCCACCATCAGACTCCCGCCTTGCCCGGGTGAGTAGCCAGGGGAGGGCGTGCCCCCTCCTCCTCCGGGCACCTACTGTGCCCGCTGCCTGGCGCTTGGGACGGCCTGTGGGGATGCAGGTCCCTGATCCCCCAAGTGGAGGGGCTCCGCTGGCCCCCTGGCAGGGGGAGCAGTCTGCAAGGAAGCATTTCACCTCGCTGCCGACCCCCCCACCGGATGTGGGACCTAGTGTGGCACGGAGGAAAGGGGAGGACTTGCAATGCCAGCCCCGCACTGGAGGGAGGGCTAGGAAAAGCTGCTCAGGCTGGCTGGCCTTTGGGTGGCCCCTGGGTGGGCATGTGGCGGGGGGCCTTGGACCACCAGCCCCGTGGGCGGTGGGAGGATCGTGGGCGGGCGGTGTGGGGGACTCGGAGGGCCAACCCTGCGTGTGGGCGGGCAGCTGCGGGGCTCAGACCAGGATGCGGAGGCTGTGGGCTGGCTCGGGCAGGCCCCAGTGGGGAGGGGGACCTCAGGCTGGTCCTGCATGGGCGGGAGGCAGGGAGGGCTCGGGCAGCCCTGCGTGGGGGGTGGGGGGAAGGGCTTGGGCCGGCATAGTGGTGTCCCATTTTCCTTTTGGGAAAACATGGTCACCCTAACTAAATGTATACCCCAATTAAAAAAAACAACAGCACAGCAGTAAGAGGACCAAAAAATGCTACCATGGCTAAACAAACAGAGTAAAAGGTGGTTAGAGGCAAAGAGACATCCTTTAAAAATTGGAGGTCAAATCCTACTGAGGAAAATAGGACTATAAACTCTGGCAAGTCAAGTATAAAAATATAATTAGGTAGGCCAAAATTTTTTTTGAAGAGCAATTAGTTTTTGTTGCCTTTGCTAACAGCAAACTTTTTTTTCCCAGTGTGTCAGAAACAGGAAGGCTGCCAAATAATGAGTGGTTTCAGAGTAGCAGCCTAGCTTGTATTTGCAAAAAGAAAAGGAGTACTTGTGGCACCTTAGAGACTAACCAAAGTAGTATACAGGCCCTACCATCAATCAAACCCTAACCCCGCCCCTTGACCCCTAGCCCCACCCACCAGAAGTCCCGCCCTCATGAGTTATTACTTCCAGGGTCAAGGCTGCCACGTGACCGGAAGCAAGGTGTGTCATGTGACACCCACCCCACCCCTTGACCCTTAACCCCACCCCTTGACCTCTGCCCCCTCCACTGGAAGTTCCGCCCCATGGGGTATTACTTCCAGGGTCAAGGCTGCCGCGTGGCCAGAAGCAAGGTATGTCATGTGACCCCCTCTAACAACTCCTCCCACAGCCCTCTACCAATCAGGATGGGTTTTGCCCCTGTAGGACTTCCCCCAAGAGGAGCTTTGACCAATCAGGGCGAGTTCTAGGGCGGGGTGTCCTCTCCGGAAGTGGGTCTTGTGACCCCTCTAACAACTCCTCCCCCCCACCCTCTACCAATCAGGATGGGTTTTGCCCCTGTAGGACCGCCCAGAGAGGAGATTTGACCAGCCATTGATGGATACCCCGGAACCTGAAACCCAGCCGCTTGTGGGGCCCCGCGATGAGCGTGATGGCCTCTTGTTGTCCACCCCCCTGGAGGAGGAAGGTGATCGCAGCTCGGGGAAGTCACTAGTGGACAAGATGAACGCTCAGGTAAATGAATGCTTAAGAAGTGACGGTCGGGGTGGGGTGTAACGGGGCTAGGAACCAGGGATTGTGTAAATCAAAAACCAAGCAGTGGGGTGCTTATGCTGTTTCTTTTTTGAAAAATATCTCTCAACAGCTCGATGATGCCTTTCTAGAGGACCCGGAGATGCTGGACAGCGTTGCACCAAGCAGCGAAGATGAACCGGGCCCACCTTGGTTTTGCTCAACGCCGATACAAAATGTTGAAGAGGACTCCGAGGATGACGGCTATGAGGAGTTTAGGAGGAGGCTTGGCATGGAACTGACTGAGCCAGTGCCACATCATGAGCATAAAAAAGTCATGCGGACTATTGTACGCGTTGCTGTTTATTCTGTTATTAATCACTGTCTTAGGGAAAAGCTTTTTGAAGATTGTGAGGGCTGTGTCATAGATGCACCAGGCCAGCGGCACCATGACTGCGTGACTTGGACTTCAGCGGATATAAACTGCAAGCTCCAGGGCCTGTGTGCTGAGCTGTGTTTGGAAAGCTTCTTAAACACTGTTATTGCCGTAGGTTATGCTATGCAATGTCTGTGCCTAACCCAAGAACATTTAGCACAAGGGGTGACCTTGATAAATGCTGTGCAATTCAGTGGAGACCCTGACCACGTTTTAAAGAAAATGACCAAACCGGAAGATGCCTGCTTACAGCGTTATATTGACCGTCTGGTCCGCACAAAAAGTTACAGAACCCTGCTTAAGAAAAAGGCTATTTGTAAGAAATCTAAAAGGATTAAGTTAGAAAATGGTGAGGGGCCAAACATGCGATATAAAACTTGGTAGCTGTAAATTTTAAAAAAATCTATTGAAAAGGGCTTTGTGACTATCTGTATTTCTGTTAAAAGGTCTCTGGCCCTTAAGGGAGCTTAAAGTCTTTTTTTTTCTTTCTTTCTTTTTTTAATGGAGCATCTTGGTTTGTTTTCAAGGAGCTGTATGTCTTTTAAATAAAAAAAATTGTTTGTGAGAACCTAGCTCTTGTGTCTTTTGTGTAAGAGAGACCCATTTACAGCAAAAAAAAAAAAAAAAGCTGAAATGTATGTTGTGGGAGGGGGAAAAATATCCTAAAAATGTGTTTACAATAAAACAAACAGGGATGGTTCAGACATGTGGTTGAGTACAATAGAGCTGACTTATTCTGTTGAACTGAACGGGTTTAATCACGCCCCTCACTGAATAGCCAGGGGTGACTGTGATTACTCACCCTTGTTGCCATAGGGTTAATTTTGATGGGGGTGCACCCATAGTAAGGGAGGTGGGTGGGTGAGGATGGTGAGTTCTGATTAATATGAAATGAAATAAAACCTCAGGAGTTTGCAGATGCTATTGGGCAGTTTAAATATAACCCCTGGAGTTGGTGGAATGCTATAGGCCAGTTTAAATATGGCCCAGGAGTTGGTTGAAGGCCACGGGGCACTTTTTTCTAGAAATCACCCCCCGCCCCACCAAACTTTAAGCATGAAAGAAACATGTTTTTAGAAACAAAACAAGCCCCAAGATATTCATTGATATCTGCAAAGGGCCCCTCACTTGAAATGGTTACTGTAAGAAGGCCCTACGGGGGAGGGAGAGGGGAGTATTTGAATTTAAAAAAGAAAAAAAAGAAAAGCAGCCCAATTGTGCAGAAAACTTATTCCCCACCCCCGATCACAAAAGGGAATGCTAGGGAGGGGTGATCCAATCAACCTGCTAACTATTTTGAAACAAAAGAGTTAGGATGGTGTAAAAAAAACCCCCAAAACCTCAGGTAGCTTGGAGACTGTCTCTTTCAACAGAAACTCTCTTGAATTGCTGCTGGACTTCAAGTGGAGGTATGTTCCCTGTTTTTTTTTAACTCTGAAAATACATATATATTATATAATGCCATTTTTTGGCCATGCTATCTTAGTAAATAATGGTGCATATCTTTATTGCAGTGTGATCTGTTTAGCATGGAGCCAGTAACTTTAAGTTGCAGTTCATCACCAGGCCAAGGTAAAAACCATTTTTAACTGTAGTTGTGCTTAATAACTTCAGGTATTACATAGGTTGAACAGCGATTTGGGAGCTAATACTAACTAACATTTTGGCTTGTTTTTTTTACCCCAAAGACCCCAAGCACACATGGCTGGGGCGGGGCGGGGGCCAGAACAACCAGGGGTCTTTTTAAAAGCATGTGGGTTTATTGAAAAGTATTTTGTTGCAAACAGTGTTTTAAACTCTATGTGTGTGTGTAAAACATAGGTGGTTTCTAAAAAGTATATGTCTACAAACTGATGGTGATGGTGTGTTTCCAATTAACAGGGTTTTTACTTTGCAAAATGAGATGTATTTTTAAAAAAAAATATTTGTGGGGGTTGTTTTCAAAGTGGTAGAAATAAACTCAAAACCTGTGTTTGTTGTACTGCCTGAAATGGATTATTTTGTTTTAAAGCTATGACTTTTTTAAATAGAAAAAAAACCCTAATGGATATTTTTTTATTTTATTTTAAAGTTTACTAGACAGTTTCATGTGTTTTATTAGAATGTTGTTTGCTTTACAGCATGGTCAAAACATGAGCGGGTAAAAATGCTCAAAAGAAAAAGGAAAGAGACAACTGAAAAGGAAAATGGGACACCACTATGCCGGCCCAAGCCCTTCCTCCCACCCCCCACGCAGGGCTGCCCAAGCCCTCCCTGCCTCCCGCCCATGCAGGACCAGCCTGAGGTCCCCCTCCCCACTGGGGCCTGCCCGAGCCAGCCCACAGCCTCCGCATCCTGGTCTGAGCCCCGCAGCTGCCCGCCCACATGCAGGGCTGGCCCTCCGAGTCCCCCACACCGCCCGCCCACGATCCTCCCACTGCCCACGGGGCTGGTGGTCCAAGGCCCCCCGCCACATGCCCACCCAGGGGCCACCCAAAGGCCAGCGGGGCTAAGGGGTCAAGGGGCGGGGTTAGGGTTTGATTGATGGTAAGGCCCTTATACTACTAACCAATTTATTTGAGCATAAGCTTTCGTGAGCTACAACTCACCTGTAACTCATGAAAGCTTATGCTCAAATAAATTGGTTAGTCTCTAAGGTGCCACAAGTACTTCTGTTCTTTTTGCAAATAATGAGTGAGGCCATTGGATGATCAAGGTGCTAAAAGAGCATTCAAGAAAAACAAGGGTATTGTGCAGGTGCTAAATTAATTCTTTGCATCAGTCTTCACTGCAGAGTATGTGAGGGAGAGTCACACACCCAAATCATTCTTTTTAGGTGATAAATCTGAGGAATTGTTTAAGGTGTCAAGAGAGGAGGTTTTGGAACAAATTGATATATTAAACAGTCATAAGTCACCAGGACCAGATGGTATTTATATTTGAGTTCCTTCAGAACTCTTGGGTGAAATTGCAGAACTAACAACTGTGGTATGTAACCTGTCACTTAAATCCGCCTCTGTACCAAATGACTAGAGGATAGCTAACATAATGCCATTAAAAAAAAAGTCTCTAGAGGCGATCCTGGCAATTACAGGTTGGTAAGTCTAACTTCAGTACCAGGCAAATTGGTTGAAACAATAGTAAAGAAAAGAATTATTGGACATCCAGTTGAACATATGTTAGTGAAGAGTCAATGTGAAATCCTGTTTCAACTGTCTAAATTAGAATTAATTGAGGGTGTCAGCAGGTGGACAAGGTTGATCCAGTTATAGTGTTCTTGGATTTTCAGAAAGCCTGACAGGGTCCCACACCAAAGGCTCTTAAACAAAGTAAACAGTCAAGGGATAAGAGGGAAGGTCCTCTCATGGATAAGTAACTGGTTAAAAGACAGGAAAAAAGGGTAGGAATAAAATGAGTTTTCACAGTGGCGAGAGGTAAATAGCTGGGTCCCCCTAGGAGCTGTAACGGGACCCGTGCTGTTCAAAATGTTCATCAATTGTCTGGAAATGGGTAACCAGTAAGGGGGCAAAGTCTGCAGATGATACTAAATTAGTCAAGATAGTTAAGCCCAAGGCCGGCTGCAAAGAGTTACAAAGGGATCTCACAAAACTGGGTGACAAAGCAACAAACTGGCAGACAAAATTCAATACAGAGTTACTTTCTGTATATAAATATTTATTTTGAGGCTTTATGAATTAAAAGTTTTCTTTAGTTGGAATTTTGTTCTGACTCCCTAATTTCTTGGTATGCATAGTGCGAAATCAGAGTGGAATGCAAGGTGACCCTACTTTATGGGGATTGTGCATGAGACATTTATACCTACAGCTCCCCTGATCTGGATTTAAAGGGCCAGGGTTTTTAACCCAAATTTGAAAAGTAATGTCTTTTCTCAAGCTGTGTTCTAACCCCAGCTGAAAACTACCTCATGTTTTGGAGCTGTTCAAAATCCATATCTAGAATCAAATTTGCAGGTGTCTCTGATCTTTCTAATGAGCCAGAGTAAAACCATGGATCCAGACACTCCCAAATTTGATCAAACAGACCCACTTCTGCATTTTAGAGTTTGAACCCATTTCTGATGTATTACTCTCAGATAAACAGGTATTCTGATTCTTAAAATTAAAGTAATCTCTGTATCATTCAACCTGGGAATTACACCGAGCTTTGTCATATCTAGAACAAACTCATCCATATATGTTTAATATGTAACTGTCTCTACTAACTTGACAGAAGCAATAACTACAGAGTTATGCAAGAATCCATAGAACATGTACCAGTATTGGATTGAGAATTGCCACTAATTGTGTAGCATTTCTTGTAAATGGAGTGCCAAAATTTGTCACAGTTTGATCTCCTAAAGCACAAAGCCTTCTGCTGAAATTCAGTATCTCATCAGAGCGGGATCTCAATGATGTAATGCAAATATGAGGTACAGGTTCAGCAAAAACACTTGTGTGTGGAGTTGGATTGGGAGGGGTGCAGAGTGAGAGCAGTGGCATGTTAGGATTCAGAGTGGGGATAGTAGGAGGAAATTTTGTCTCTATTTGGGGAGGAGGCTGGTTCTGTATTCTTGCAGCCCTCTGGTATGGACTGATAAACCACGTAGATTAACTTGCTTGGAAGCAGTGCATACAGTTAATCTTGGTGTCACTTTTGATCACAATTTATTAACAATTTATTAAAAGCCATTATCTCAGATTTGGCACAAGAGTCCTGTGATCTGGCATTTGCACATTTGTTTATCCTGTGACGGCCCCATAACAGCAACACATACCCTTTTAAAATATTTGCAGAACATTCGTTTTCTTCCCTTCTGGAACTTCTCTGTGTTCCAAGACTCATAACTTATTAGTGAATCATTAAGCAATCTTTTAGATAACTGGCAACTGCCATTTTAATCCAGTTGGAAAATTCTTTGAGGCACTATCCATTGATTTCAATGGAAGTTAGGTGCATAAACACCTTTTGAGATTCCAAGCCTGACTTCCTCTGGTTCCTGGGTGTGGGGAAAGGTGTTTAGGCAGTCCCTGCTGCACTCCAGTGTACTTTACTTTCTTCCTTACCTACAGAAACTGAGGGCTATCGCCTTACCAGATGACTTCTTACTATTCAGATAAAGGATGTCAAAATCTCTACATCCCTGTAATCCCATAGGAAGGGAGAGAGCCTTAGGCACTGCAATTAGTTTGGTCATGTTGAGAGAATATAAAGGTCTAGTTTCCAAGGGCTGATTGGTCAGTTAGCAATGGGTTTACAGGCCCAGAGTTACATTATTATTAATTTTTAAATCCTTACTAAAGGAAAATGTTTGGAAATTAGGAAACCCTCATGTTCGGGGCACAAAACAACCATTAATGGATTAGGAAGAACCTCTCCATGTGGGCAGATTATTGGAGACCTGCCTG